CACATCGTGCTTTTTTGAAATAACATTGAGCATGTATGAACATTGTGCTTGTAGACATCGTGCTCCTTGGTCACATCTTGCTTGTCCGAATTCTTGACTTGTAAAACTATAAGTCTTTGAGGGGAATCAATCTCGGGTGTGATCATTGTGAGTAAGGCCTTCTACCATTTTGCCGTTAGGCTCATCTAATCAGTTGTTGCAACGTCATTCCTTTATGCTTCTTTCCCGAATGAATACTTGTAGGACCAAAATTAATTGTTCAAATTAATTTTGTTCTTCATGTAGTAGATTTTCCTTTGACTCGATATTCTGGATTATGATGCTTATACTAAAGACCTAAATTCTAAGGGGATCTAAAGTACATTTGGCTCATCAAAACTTTATTACAAAAATATTCCTATCACACCTCACAGCGGATTTGTGGCGCAATGGTAGCGCGTTTGACTCCAGATCAGAAGGTTGCGTGTTTGATTCACGTTGGGTTTAATTTCCCTATCCATCACGGATTAACTTTTTCCTCACCATAACGTCGGAATTTAGAATATTATTATACTATTACAAAATGACATTTTAACAAGCTTGTTTAGCTCAATTGGTAGAGCGTAAGGCTCTTAACCTTGTGGTTGTGGGTTTGAAACCCATGATGGGCTTTTCATATTCCGACTAGGCTACCATTTATCTATATTACATTATTTACACTCCAATATACAAAATTAGAATACGTGCAACACTGCGAGGGAGACACACACACCAAATCAATATTAGCATTATATATAATTAAAAAATGTTTTAAGAGTTAATACCATCTGAGGTCCTCGAGTATAGTGGTTTTGCCACGTTTAATTAGTCCTAAACTTTCAAATTGACAAAATGTGATTCTTCGACTTTCAAATTTAAGTATTCGTGGTCCAAGTTAACCACTCGTGGTCCAAGTTAACCACTCGTGGTCCTTCAACTATTAAATTTTAACCAACCATGGTCCTTTCAAGAGCATCATGACTGGTTAAATTAAATTTAAAAACTTGAAGGAACATGGGTGGTTAACTTGGTCCACGAATGGTTAAATTTGAAAGTCGAAGGACCACCGATGGTCGATTTGAAAGTTTAAGAATAAACGTGACAAAACCACTATACTCGGATGACCTCAAATAGTATTAACTCAATGGTTAAATTTGTTGCAAGTATGCTATACTTTGATCTCTTGTATCATTTAGGGTTCAATTATGCTTGAGAAACTTTGGAATTATAATGTGTGTAGCTATAAAAATGGGACACACATGCAATTAGATACACTACTTACAATTTCAATCTCACTTTGAATAAATGTGATTGGAAGAAGATTCACTTTAATTTGTAGGTTATTTGTTTGATAAATTGTTCCAATTAAAATTGAATTGCCATAAGAATATGAGTCTTTGCTAATGGGTAGTCCAATGACTGAGAATATCATTGAGACCTTTGTTACCTCTTCCGTGATTGTTGCTAAATCTTTCAATGAGCACGAGTTAAACATCACATAGCATTTATAGAAGAGTTAGCATAGTCTTTTCTATCGTTTCATTACATGCTACTTGGATTGTTTCCATTATATCCCTATGTTAATTTGTGAGAACTGCTTCTGTTTAATTAACTTGTCCATGCTTCACTTGCTTTCTATTTGACATTTCTTTTGGCCCACTCTTTAAAAACGATATTTGATGTGAAAATAAACTTTCACACAAACCTTACCACTAAAATTAACACCTCACAGTGGATCCGTGGCGCAATGGTAGTGTGTTTAACTCTAGATTAGAAGGTTGTGTGTTCAATTCCCCTATCCATCATGAATTATCTTTTTCCTCACCATAACGTCAGAATTTAGAATATTATTACACTATTACAAAATAACATTTAAACAAGTCCATTTGGCTCAGTTGGTAGAACGCAAGGCTCTTAACTTTGTGGTCGTGGGTTCAAGTCCCATGGTGGGTGTTTTCATATTTCCTCACCATAACGTCAGAATTTAGAATATTATTACACTATTACAAAATAACATTTAAACTAGCCCGTTTGGCTCAGTTGGTAGAGCGCAAGGCTCTTAACCTTGTGGTTGTGGGTTGGTTTCCACTAGGCTAGACACACACGAATCACCACTAGGCTAGGCACACACGATTCACCACTAGGCTAGGCACACACGATTCACCACTAGGCTAGACACACACGAATCACCACTAGGCTAGACACACACGAATCACCACTAGGCTAGACACACACGAATCACCACTAGGCTAGACACACACGAATCACCACTAGGCTAGACACACACGAATCACCACTAGGCTAGACACACACGAATCACCACTAGGCTAGACACACACGAATCAAATGGTAGCCAGGAGATTTTGGCTCTCATTCTCTCGCCCAACAACTAAAGATTTTGCATATATTTTTACCTTTTCTTTTTTACCTTATATCCTTGCATGTAGTCAAATGAGTGTTTTGGTTGGTTTTCGATAGCTATTTTAGTGGGCATGAGTGTTTTTGTTGGTTTTGGAATCCTATTTTATATGATAATAATTCATTTGATTGGTTTTGGGGATGGGTTTCGTTTCCCGATTCATGTCAAAGAGTAAACGTGTTATATTTGAATTACAAATCTAGGTTTTATCTACTAAGCTAATCCTCTAATCTTCTAATTTTTCTCTTTCTATAAGTATACTACTGCTGCGACTCTGCGTTATCTCCCTCAGCCGGCTACCATGTCTTGGAACTATCAACTCTTCTTCTTTTTCACTCAGCTGTGATGATTACTTACACAACATAAGTGATGGCTTTCAGTATAAATACACCTGTTTATACAAGCAATTGCACATTACAACCTCTCAATATTAGTCTATTCGAATCACAAGCTCTTCTTCTTTGATGGCTGGTCAGTTTGTTCTTGCTTCTCAGCTCACTCCACTATGCAATAGGAAGGCCACTCGAGTTAGGTTGGTGTGAACATATGCTGTTTATGAAAACAGAGAAAACAAGGGGATTAGCAGTCTGGAATGTGTTTTCCATGATGTAGAGGTGTAGCATTTTCGATTTTATTAACATAAAATTTCTTTATATTTACTTATGTTCACTACGTTCAAGTTTAATACCTTTTAATGTGTTCATCTAGGGTGTGTTTGTTCATTGTACTATACCTAAGGATCAAGTGCAAAAATGGACCAAATTCAAGGAAGGTTGTGTTTATGGGATAAAGAACTTCCTTTGCATTACTAACTACTTGAATTTCAAGATAAGTAATCATCGTTACATGCTTAAATTTAAGCATGATACTATGTTTAAGGAGTACAAGAAAGTCAGTTTTCCTAACAAGGAAGGAAGATATTGATGAGAAGATGCTCATAGGTATATTCTTATCCTTAAATACAGCCTCTTTTACTTTTAAAACTATCCTTATTTAATACGTAACTATTTCTATTTGTTTTTTCTAGATGTGATTGGAAGGGTCACTGAAATCTATTCTCCAGTGGAGACGGTTGTAGCAGGACAGAGAGTTAGGCTTATTGATTTTGTTCTGAAAGATATCAAGTGAGTGTACATGTTTATATTACATTTATGTTTTTTTTAAGTTTTAAATGGAATAACTTCAGTAAACTATTCTTTTTAAAATAAACTTTTCTTTTATTTCTTTTAGTCAAGATCAGATTCAATGTACTCTTTGGGGGGATCATGTGAATAGTTTGCTGCCTATATATAGCTCAACAGTCACTGAAGAACCAGTGATTGTTTTGCTACAGTTCTGTAGGGCAAAGATCTTTGATAGTATGTGTTCTCTTATTCTTCTACTCCATTGCTTCAAGTTTTATTAATTTATTCTTTTATCTTTTAGTGGCATTATCCTGAAATTGCATATTCTTTATTTCTAGATGGAGATGTGCACATATCAACTTCAATTAATGCAACAAAAATTTGGATCAATCAGAAAATGCCAGATTTTGAGGAGTTTAAGAAAAGTTTAAGGTATAAATCCTACATTCTGTTTCTATTTTTAAATTCCTCAGTTCTTCATTGAATCTGTTTACTTTTATTCCTTCTATTCTAGTCTGTCATCTGACAGAACTCCTTTAAGAAAGTTGGACTCAAGCTCTAGACTACTTGGATTTAGGCCAAATCGTAACACTCTGAGTGATGATATTGTCGTAACTTCTCTAAGTGAGATTTACAACAAGAAGGAGGTAATAAATTATTTTTTCTCTTGTTTTTATTTTTTAGTTTTTTTTTTTTAATTTCCAGATTGGCTTACTAACTTCTTTTTTGCTATTACACAGCTATGTGAGTTTTGGGTGGCTGTTAGGATTATGGATGTTGACAGTTCAGATGGTTGGTATTACATGTCCTGTAAGGGAACTAACTGTGGGAGAAACCTAACTCCAAGAGAAGGTATGATGTACTTCTCTAAGTGTGACCGTAGCTGGCATGAGGGGGCTGTCAAGTATAAGGTGGTTGATCGTGTAACGGACAGTACATGTGAAGCTCATATGCTCATTTGGGATAAGGAATGTTATGATTTGGTTGGTGTTTTAGCTTCATCCCTAAGAGAGAAGTATGCTGAGGTGAGAATGGTTTTTCTACTCTAATTTGGGATTGGTAATGCTATAGATGTTCCTATGTTTATTTCCTAAAAAAAATTATGTTTTTTTTTTTTTCAGAATGCAAAAGGTTGGATCCCACCTGAGTTGCAGTCTATTTGTGGGATGCCTATACTATTTAGGATTTCTATGAAGAATGATCAAGTGGACAGTCCGAGCTCTGCATTTGGGGTGTTAGGGTTCTGTAGACAAGCTGACATTGTTTCAAAACACTGTGGGATTATAGACTGTGATTTAGATGCAATAGAACAAACTCATGAGGATTAACTATTTTCCTATTTAGACTGTTTTCTTCTTTATAAAATTGAATAACACTATGTGTATTATTCAAATTTTTTTCAAGATTCATTTGGCCTGGATGACTTTGGTTATTTTGAAATGGTTGGATTTGATGAAGGGGGTTCTTCTGGAAATGTTGCAAGCACACTTAAGAGGTCTCTAATGGATGAATTCAATGATGACTCTAAGAGACTTAAGACTTCGGTGATTAAGTTGGAAAAAATGTAATGCGATTGCGGTTTCTATTCTATTTAGCACACTGAAGAGGTCTCTAATGGATGAAGTCAATCAGCCTCACTACTCTAATAGACTTAATACTTCAGTGTTAGTTTTTTAGTACACTAATAACCATGAGTTACAAATCTAAGCTGGAGTGATGAATTTCTAACGCAGTTTTGTATTCAAAGTATCTGTGGAACCTTTAATCCTATTTATTTAACCAAACTTAGTACATGTGTTATACATTCAAAGTCAATAATTTATGTAAAAAATAGTTTTAAGCTATAAGTAAAAAGAAAAAAAAAAACATATTTTAGGGTGAAAGAATAGTACTAGGTTAGAATGATAGTATGCAAGGATTTAGTTAGGGATTTAAAGTTGAAGCCTAATAGTCTGACAACTAGGATTATATAAAACCTTGGAAATTTGCATTAGATTAAGGCACTTTTATTTGTGGAAATCAAAGTGCCAGTATCTAATGCAAATTTCACTACTTGGATTATATAATTTTTAGGCTCATTTGCCTAATACAAAAAAAAAAAAAAATGCTTTGATCAATGTTATCAATGAAGTAAAATTTTGAAATTAAAAACTAACAACTAATTAACCATTATGGATAAATCCAAATCAGATACGACTGCACTTTGTATTAATAAAAATCAATGAGTTTATAGATGAACAAAGGTATAATGTATGGCAGATGTCATGAGTTTGATACTCAATTTGTAAACTCATTTAAAAATGTGATATTACTAATCTGTAAACTCATTTAAAAATGATAAATGCAGAAAACCATGTATGAAGATCAAGCCAAAATTTGATCTTATAAACTAATAACCAATTAAACAATATTGGGAAAATAAAATCAACTATAAGTACACTGTTACATTCCCAATAAAAATGAAATTCAAATCTAACAAAAGGCTATAAAATAGTAATCATTTACAAGTATTCATCTATGTTGTGCTAGGGTAATCAAATGCTATTGCCACTATAAATAAAGATCCAACACTTGGAAGATACTTTCAAACTGCAGGTTCTCTGTAACTGTTCATGGAAAGCATCAACTTAAACAAACATGAGAAAGTTAGAAAAATCTACTACGATTGGTTGCAAGAGAAAGTATGGGATTTCAAACAAAGGTATGAAAGCATTTGATATTACACTATAGTTTATAAATACAAGTTTCATATAAATACTCAAAATCACATCAATTAATGCCTAAACCAGTAAAGGAATTAATAATTATATTGCTAAAGGAAAAAAATAGTCCAAGAATTGTACTATATGCAAATTAGACTTATCTGTTGATGATGTGTAGTTTTGTTCTGTTTTCCAAGAGTACTGCCAACTTGGTTTTCTTCACTCGCATAATTTTTTCTTCTCAAGCTTGGTTTCGTTTATCTACAATAAATCAGGTAGGGTTCATATCATTAATATATAAGAAATGAATCAACACTTAGTCAAAGATTTTTGTAACAATAATTTATAAAACAGAAGAAAAAATATATATGAGAAGTATAAAAAAATTAAAATAAACTTATCTTTTTCGTAGATATTCTCTGCATATAATTTTTTTTGGAATTTTTAGGCTTCGATACTGTTGATTAATGTATATTTGTTCCTTTCTGGGCTTAGCTACGTACATCTGCATACATAGAAATTAGGGTGTCAGGAGTATATAAATAAATCAATAGATTTTAGAGCAAATAGAAATTAAAACTTACTGCATGTGGGGAAATTGTTTCCTGAAAGATCCGATCCAGTTTAAGCTTCAAAAGTAGACGATTTGCTTGAAGTTCTTCGGATTTATGGTTTCGATTTTTGGAGTATTTCATCTAGGATGAGGGGTTTTCATGGTTTAGAGGATGAAGCTTGAAGGATTGAAGAGAATAGAGGTAGTTGGCTTCTATTTCGTGAATCATTTAGGGTTCGTGAATAGCGAATGGTACTGGTGTCGCGGAGGAGACGGTGAATCGCGATGGAGGAGATAGAGAGAGGCAGAGGGACGTAGAGAGAGGGAATTCTGGGGTTATGTTTTGGGTTGGGTAAGAAGGGTTAGATATGTGGGTTTGGGTAAGTTTTGGGTTGGGTAGTTTAGTTGGGTTTCGGCCCATTGTTGTTGCTATTATTATTACTAGTATTTGTCCCGTGCACGGAAAATGTGTTATAAAAATATACACTATTTGAGGTTTATTCATATATAAAATTTTTGTTATTTAATAATTATTATGTGTGAATTCCTATGATAAAATTATGAACATAAATATATTTACAATTAAAATAATATTTAATGTGGGTGATTACTACAAATCTTAAACTATATTAAAAATTTAGTACATAGTATTTAATATTATAAATTTGTAAGAACTTAGTAAACTACAATAGTAATTGAATTACAATTTTAGAGTCACCACGGATCAAAACTTTTTAGACCTTTGAGATTTCTAACTCTAGATGTAGCAACATACAATTGACCTTTAAAGACCAAAATCACAATCTTAGTTAGAACATTGATTTTTTTTCTTCCAAATACTATCGAATTAAGTGTGTAATCAATAAAAGATGAAAACTAATAATTCGAGAATATAATCTTAATGTTACTAAGCCTACTTCACGTCAATTAAGTTGGAGAGTATTGTTGGATAGTATCCGATGAATCCACGAATAACGCATCTTTGTCTCCGTAGTCCTCAATATGCACATCAACAATCTTAAATATTAAGCCACATAGCTATGCTATATATTAATTTCAAACTTATAGACTTTGGGGTTGCATGCATGCTTCTTAAAGTCATATGGCTTTAAGATGTGAAAATTAAATGTTGCATTTAATTTTCACATCTTAAAGTAATTTTACATCTTAAAGCCCATTTAATTTTCACAAGACTTTCACATCTTAAAGTCATATGGTCTTGTGAAAATTAAATGCAACATTCAATTTTCACAAGACCATATAGCTTTATTATATATAGGATTATTATTATTATTATTATTATTATTATTATTATTATTATTAGACTTCTTATTATTGAATTTGTTGTTATGATTAATAGTATTGCATTATTATTATTATTCATTATTAATTATTAATTATTAATATTATTATTCATAATATTGATATTGTTAATGGAAATATTCTAATTATTTTTATCATTATTGATATTAATATTACTTTTTTTTTTTTGTTATTCTTATGTTCTAATGTGTGAATTCTTTTTATTTTTTTGTTAATATATTTATTAAATAGGTGATTTTTTTAATGAGTTGTCTTCAATATATTTGTATTTATAAATTGTTCATCTCAAAATTTGCATTGACTTTATCATAATAATATATTTTAAAGCATTTTGACACTTTTTCCCTTTTTGTCCAATTAAATATTACGTTAAATAATGTTACAAGTAAGGATTTTGTCTATTTCATATAATGAATTTGAAAATATTTTTAAATTTTCCATTTTGGGAATCAATAAATTGTTAACAATTTCATCTTGAATTTTTGTTAGAGAATGTGGATAGTGTAACTCCTGAGCAGCTCAGAACGCGAAGGATCAATCGGTTTGGGATTCAGGCACAGAAATCATGCTTTGTGGGGGTGTTTCAAAATTCTCTTCATACGACTTTGATTGTATTAACAAATTGTAAGTTCTACACTAATTTTATCACATTTTAAATTAAATGTTGTGTTTTTAAATTTTTTAAAATGTATTTTCTTTAATGTAGGCAATCAAATCAATACTACGATATCTTCTAATGTTGAATGTTTGAATAGGCATATTGATAGTACTAGCACCGAAGTGGGTAATTTATTTTTTTCTTTAAAAATGTTATATTAAATGTTAGGTAAATTTATATTGTGACTTGATTTGTTTGGTGCGTAATCATACAGTCGACATTGCTGATAATTCTAAAATCGTATTGAATATTGCTTGTGGTTCAAGCCGAAGGAAAACAAATTTAACTGATGCAGGTATTTTTTGCATTTTTTTTTTCCTAATTCTACGTTATAATATAGTGCTTTATTTTATTCTTATAGTAATAGATTCAACTAACAATAGGACCATCAATTGTATATAGACAACCTATCCAAAATCAGCGAAAAGCTATTGTAGGACCATCAATTGGATAGAAATTGTTAAAGCTATTGTATACCTTTGGTAGCTTAAAGTTCTTAAAAAGTTCATGTATTTATATATGTACATTTTTTGTGAACATATTTTTTTGTAGGCGTGTATTTAGACAATGGGGATCCGACTTTTAAGTGTCAATATTGTGATGCATTGTTTTGGTATGATGAGAGATTAAAGAGTGTAAAGGTGAATAGTTTGCCTAAATATTCTATAAGTTGGGGTAATGGAAAAATTAATATTAGGAACACTTGTATTAGGATTTTGATAATACCAATGTAACCTAGAAAGTAGACCCCTAACCATTATTACTTTTAATCGCCGCTTTCGTCCTAGACGAAAGTTGCCATAACTTACATGTAATTCGTGTTAAGCTAGTCAAACACACGAAGACGAGTTATGCTTAGTTGTTAGGGTTATCAAGACGAAAGAAGACACGAAGCATGAAGCAACTGCAACGAGAGTCTACCAGGAGTTGTCACTTAGCACGAAAGGACAGTCTTATTGATGACAATCCTTCAAGACATTCCTTCTCATCAATAGCTAGAAGAATGTCTCCACTGTCTGACTTGACAACATCCTAGGAACAAAAGGACCTCAACTTGTGGGACACGCATACCAAGGAATATTAAATGAAGATGTACTATTTCCTGAAGCTAAAGGACAAAACCCTAAGGCTCTCCATGCCATCAACGGCTACAAGGTACAACCTCATTAATGGAGCATTTAATGCGGGAAGCTCCCCGGTCCTTACCCACTGGACAATAGGTTTAAAAATTCATCTCCCTCCAACGGATGAATTTTTCCTCACCTATATAAACTCACCTTCACCAACTAAGAAGGTGTTGGTTCTTATCACTCGAGCTATCTATAAGCAAAAGCTCTTAAACGCTCTCAGCTCTCTTAAGCTTTTGTGAACCAGTGTTAAGGTGCAAGGATGAAGAAGTTCATTGATACTCATCTTACACCTTAATGAAGTCTTGCAACTTGTACGAAGCAATCATTCTCATCAGTCAAGAGTTCATCACGTTGGAGAAATCAGAAATTATTTTCTACCAACCTCAACTCTGAAGAAGACGTTGATAGAGGCGGAGTAAACTCGAGGAGTTGAAAAACCTACGAAGGCTGTCCGGCTTAGTGATCAAGGAAGTCTTTGTGTAATTGTACTAATGAGTGATAGTGCAATCCTTCCATAAGTTGTGGAAGAAGAGTGGAGTAGGCAAAGTTTGCCGAACCACTATAAAAACTCTCGTCTCCTTATCTTCTCATTTACTTTATTTATTTCCTGCATCATATCATCTCTCACGAAAGTTCCCTAATAACGACAACTCGTGCAAAGCTAGTAAACGAACTTAACATTTCCGCTACGCCAAAACACTGAAAGGTTGTTTTTCGGCAAAACACGAAAAGAGTCTATTCACCCTCCCCCCTCTAGACTCTCGCTATAACTCTACCGGGACCAACAAGGGGTATCAGAGCCAAATACCTTGAACGGTAAAGGATTTGCATGTACTGCATGGTAGATCCCTTATCAAATCTCTGAAAATTTGAATATTTTCAGCTTTGCACAAATTTTTTGCAAAATTGAAAAGGATCATGCTAATCGCTCTAAACAGCTTGCTTTTAGCCTCTCTAAATTTGATGACTGGAAGATCAGAATGCAGGCCCTCCTCTGCTCCATACATGACGAGATGTGGGACGTCATAACGACTGGACCAATCACAGTCATGATGGCGAACACACAAGCCGCAGCTCAAGGAGCCGGTGCTGAGCAGATTATACCGAAGCCAAAAGATCAATATACCTCGGAAGATAGGACAAGGGCAAACCTGGACAATATAGCACGAAACATCCTCTACAACTCCCTTGACGAGTCTTTGTTCCCCAGAGTTCGAAAATGCAAGAATGCCATGAAAATATGGAACGTTATGATGAATCTGGGAGAAGGGGATGAACAGGAAAAGGACAACAAACTGACTGTGGCTATGAAGAAGTTTGAATACTTCAAAATGTTGCCAAGTGAAACGATCATGGACATGGAACTGAGGTTCACCAGACTCATGGGAGATCTGTCAGATCTCGGGAAGGAACTGACAGAGAAAGAAAAGAATCTGAAGATACTTCGCGGTCTGCCAAAGTCTTGGGAGATAAAAGTTATTGCTATGAGAGATAACCGAGACATGAAGACTATAAGCACAACCAAAATCTTCAGTGAATCTTAAGGCCTACGAGTTTGAGCACGAACCAAAGGATGCTGAAGAACCTGAAACAAGAAACATAGCCCTCGTGGCCAACTAGCAAGCGTCAGCATCTAACAGGTCAAAATCCAACTCTTGTGAATTTTTATCTGACGAACAATTTGCCTTATTTGTTAGGAAGATGAAGAGGTTTATGAGGAAAAACAACTTCCAAGACTCTCAATGCTAGGGATACCGAAGGCAGCACGAGAGTTCACCTCAAACCTCAAAGCCAGAAGCTTCAGACTCACAATTACTGTGCTACAACTGCCGGAAGCTAGGATATTTCAAGGCAAACTGTCCTCATCCAATTGTGAGCAAGCACCAAGACAACAATGCTACCAAGAACTCATCCAAAGAAGCTGGAGAAAACTACAAAAGGAGGAGAACTCTCAGCTTATGATTAGCTACAATGCGTTAAGGCAAGTTCGAATTGAGAACGTAAAGCTAACCATTGCTAAGAAGCAACTTGAGGAAAATGTTCTCGCCTTGAAAGAGCAGTGCACAGTAAGAGAAAGAGAGAGCAAGAATTGCTTGAAGTCTTGAATAAATTCAACAATTCGTTCAATCTAATGGACCGAATGGTGAATGAATCTAGACTGCCTGGGGAAAGAACGGGAATTGGTTTTAACCCCAGCTCCTCTTCACAAGTCGGCTTGAACAAATCCACGAATGACTATTCTCACGAAGGTTTTCAAGATGCATTTGTTCAAGGTCCAACCCAGGTGTCTGAGCCTATGGCGGAAGTTAACAATATTGCCACACCACAATCAACAAGCCAACCGAAAGGAAAGGCTGTACAACGAATTGTGGATCCTAGAAATGAAAGATCTTTCAAAGGTAATCCTAGACAAAAATATGTCAAAAGCAATGGACCAAATGGCAATAGACAAAATCTAAACCATAAGAAATGTCAGCCTAATAAGAATATTCAATCAAGGAAAAGGCCGAATGTTAATCAGAGGCAATATTGTCCAAAGCCAACACAAAAGAATCCTGTTCAAGGAATCCCGAGAAATGGACGAATCAGACAAAATGAAAGATCTTTCAAAGGATCAGGTTATGGCAATGGATGGACTGGGCCATCAGAGGAAGATTGGTTTGATTACCCCCAGAACCTCTATCAAGAGCTGAATTTAAAATAATTCATCTGCGTAGACAAAACAATTATTCCAAGTATTATGAAAATCCTCCTGAAGAATATTTTCACGAGAGATATAATGCAAAAACATTTGCCAGTATCCATTATGATTACCGCACATCTAATGGGTATAGAGGACCGATGATGAGTCGAGGAAACTCTAGGCTCATGTGGATTCCAAAGCTGACATCTAACCCGCAAGGACCCGAAACTCAAGGGGTAAACTCAAGGGGTACCTTTTTTTTTTTTTTTTTTTTTTTTTTTTTTTTTTTTTTGAATGCTACTGGCTCTATTACATTGTAGTATCTGTTCATATACTTTCTCAACCTACTAAAAAACAAAGAACCAATAACGACTCCACTGAGGCTTGAACTCACAACCTTCCAAATAGAAGTCCAACCAGGTACCATTAGACCACATAGTCCTGGTAAACTCAAGGGGTACCTAAAAACACATAATCTTTCTTGCAGGACAAACAAGTCATATGGTATGTCGATAGTGGGTGCTCAAGACATATGACTGGTGATAAAACAATGTTGAGCAATTTCAAGGAAGTCGATGGACCTAAAGTCATCTTTGGAGGAGAAAACAATGGCAAGACTCGCGGAAAAGGAGACATCATCAAACAGGGAATAACCATACAAGATGTATCATATGTTGATGGACTAAAGTTCAATCTCCTAAGCACAAGCCAATTTTGCGACAAAGGCTACAAAGTCGAATTTTCCAAAAATAAGTGTAAAATCGTGAACACGAAGGATGGCAAAATCGCATTAACTGGTCAACGAAAGAAAAACATGTACGTAATCTCTTGGAACTCTACTAACGCTAATGTTTGTTTTGTGGCCAAAAGTAATGTAGATCTTAATCAAGAATGGCACAACAAACTGAGTCATCTGAATCTGAAGACAATCAACAAACTCGCCAAAACAAATATCGTGAGAGGATTACCCGAAACATCATACACAAAAGACAAAATATGTGAGGCATGTCAAAAAGGGAAACAAATCAAGTCATCTTTCAAGTCTAAAGATGTGGACGGAAACTCTCGTTCTCTAAGCCTTCTACATATGGATCTCATTGGACCAATTGATCCAGCTAGTTTAAGTGGAAGAAAGTATACTCTCGTCATAGTAGATGATTACACGAGATATACTTGGTGCTTTTCTTGAATAAAAAGAACAAAACAGAAGTTGTTCTCCCCAACCTATTGAAACAACTTCAGACAGAAAAGGAAGTTAAAATCATTCGGATAAGATCTGATCAAGGAACTGAATTCGTCAACAAGGTCATCAAAGAATTCTGTGCTCAAAACGGAATCTTTCACCAACTCTCGACAGCACGAACTCCTCAACAAAATGGAGTAGCTGAAAGGAGAAACAGAACCCTGAAAGAAGCAGCACGAACAATGATAGCTTACTCAGGATTGCCAAAGCGGTTTTGGGCTGAAGCCATAAACACAGCATGTTACACACAAAACAGATCCCTGATCAACAAATTCTACAACAGAACACCTTATGAACTATGGAAAGGTAAAGTACCGAGTATTGGTTATTTTCATGTTTTTGGTTGTAGGTGCTTCATACACAACAATGGAAAGAATCATTTGAGAGCTTTTGATGAAAGAGCAGACGAAGGTTTATTCATGGGTTATTCCTCAGTAAGTAAGGCATTTAGAGTTCTAAACAAAAGAACAATGGTGATTGAGGAATCAATTCATGTCAAATTCGATGAACAATCTGAGAAGAATCCAGCTGGTATTGAATCATCAAGTAATCCACATCAAAACCCTCAATCCAATGAAGAAGAGGTTTCAGATGATGAAGAAGATATATTAACTTCCTACACGAAATATCAGTTGAAGATCTCTGAGCCCGAAACCACAACACAAGAAAATGTCAACGTACAACAAGACACTCCTGATGTTCAAGCACCATCCGAACCTATGATCTACGTTCAGTTTCCTTATATTCCTGAAATGGATGCACAAAATCAGCAAAATATTCTTGAACCCGATCTTAGATGGATAAGAGATCATCCTCCGGATCAAGTGATTGGAAATGTTCAAGAAGGTGTACGAACAAGAGCCTCTCTGCACGAAAATATGATGGCTTTTTTCTTATCACAAATAGAACCCAAGTCCATAGAAGAAGCCTTAAGTGATCCTGACTGGGTAATAGCCATGCAAGAAGATCTTCATCAGTTTGAACGAAATGATGTGTGGGAACTTGTGTCGAGACCAACACATCAGAATGTTATTGGAACTAAATGGGTTTTTAGAAACAAAATGAGTGAAGATGGGCTCATTGTTAGGAACAAAGCCCGTCTTTTTGCTAAGGGGTATTGTCAAGAAGAAGGAATCGATTTTGATGAAACCTTCGCCCCCGTAGCTAGACTTGAAGCCATACGAATATTCCTAGCCTTTGCAGCTTACAAAGACTTCAAAGTCTATCAAATGGATGTCAAAAGTGCATTCTTAAATGGGCTTCTTGATGAAGAAGTATATGTTGAGCAACTGCCTGGTTTCGCGGTTAATAGTGAACATGAAAAAGTCTATCATCTAAAAAAGGCTCTTTATGGATTAAAACAAGCTCCACGAGCTTGATATGATACACTCTCACACTTTCTTATCAATTGTGGCTTCACAAAAGGAGCTGTAGACAAGACACTCTTTCGTATAAAAGATGATGACCATATTCTTCTAGTACAAATCTACGTTGATGACATCATCTTCGGGAGCACGAACCCTAACTTTTGTCAGAAGTTCTCAAACCTTATGAAAGGTAAATTTGAAATGAGCATGATGGGAGAACTAAACTATTTTCTGGGATTGCAAGTAAAGCAATGGTCAGATGGAATTTTCATTAGTCAAGCCAAATATACCAAGGATTTAATCCAAAAATTTGGGATTGATGGAAAAACATCTGTCAAAATCCCTATGAGCACATCCCTTAGAATGGACATTGATAACGAAGGAAAAGATGTGGACCAGAAAAACTTTCGTGGTATAATTGGATCTCTTCTATACCTAACAACAAGCAGACCTGACATTTCGTTTGCTGTTGGTGTATGTGCAAGATTTCAAGCTAAACCGAAAGAAAGTCACTTGAGTGCAACTAAAAACATCTTAAGATATCTTAAAGGGACGCAAAGTGTCAGACTTTGGTACCCGAAAGAAGGATATTTTGATCTTGTTGGCTATTCGGATGCCGACTTTTCAGGATGCCGAATTGATAGAAAAAGTATCTCAGGAACTTGCCAGTTTCTAGGGGGAAGACTTGTGCCATGGTTTAGCAAAAAACAACATTCTATTGCTACCAGTACGGCTGAAGCCGAATACATAGCAGCTGGAAGCTGTTGTGCTCAAATTTTATGGATGACACATCAATTGAAAGATTATGGCATAAATGCACGAGAAGTGAGCATTAAGTGCGATAACACGAGCGCAATTGCTATCACACATAATCCTGTCTTACATTCACGAACTAAGCATATCGATATCAAATATCATTTCATTCGTGATCATGTAGAAAGAAAGGACATATCTCTTGAGTATGTCAACACTGATGATCAACTTGCGGACATACTCACGAAACCCTTAAGTGAGGCGAGGTTCTCTACTCTAAGGCATGAAATAGGAATGATTGAGATGACATAAAGCCTTGAGAATCAAATCTGCAAAGATTCCCATAACATTCCTCGATGCTCTACCCAAAAGATTTGAATCTTTATCACACGCAAGGTCTCTATAAAAAGAGGTACATGTTATCATCAGATTCTCATAATTAACAAGAAATCCAGTTTTTGTCTTTGTGTGTGCAGATATGCGTACAGGAAGTAAAACAAAGACAACGATCACCGAGACAAGAAAGGAAGAAACCGAAATCTTCCATGACCCACTAGTGAATGAGGAGGATCTGAACAAATTCCGTGCATACTCTCAGCACATACAAAACATTCTATGAGATCCAACGGAAAATGAATCAAGAGAATCGTTTCACTCCGTCGGCAATACCATAGGGTATGCAAAGGAAGATAGCGTGTTGGAACGGAGTGATAGTTTTGATTATTCACCATCAAGCACTCCTCCAAAAATGCCATCTCCTCTCAAATCCACAGCTAGCAGCAAGAAGAAAAAGGCCTGAAAATCTCATTGGGCCATAATGATAAGCTGTGCTTTTGTTATCTTTAAATATATTTCGTTTCTTAAATGAATCATTTCAATTTCTCGTCTCTCACGAATCTTCTGATAACGTCTTTAACACGAAATGAGGCATCAATATCCAAAATATTATAACAAGATTCGCACGCAACACTTGTGCCTATAAATTGGAATCTCTCTTCATAAACTTTACTCACACATTCAGTTCTTTAGTAAGAAAATTTTGTAGGTATGGATAAGGGTAAAGGAAAGATGGACGAAGCTGAGGCTCGAGCTATTCGACGTGATCATCATCTTCGAGAAGCAGGTAAACTGACGAGTGCCACAATAACAAAGATAGTGGAAGATGGTGATAGGGTCTACGTAACGTTCACCATGCCAAACTCGGCCACCCCGAGAGAAAGGAAAATTCAGGACAAAGTTGTCAACGAATCTCTGGCCACAAAAGACAAATGTCTAGCACAGGCAAAACAACTGGCTAACGAAAGGAAGATGGCTTTGATCAACGCTAACAAACACTCTTCTCATCTAAAAACCTTTCGCTGGTACCCAGTTACTGAGGCTCCACAAAAGAGTGAAAATTCTTATGAAGACGTCAATCTAGTTCACTCTCAGTCACCAACTAACCCAACTACGCCCACTCTCTCTCTAGAGGAACTGGACGAGTATGCAAACAAGACAAATGTGTCTGACGTGACTGATGAGTTGACTCGTCTAGAGCTTCACGTGCCTTATCGTTTTCTTTGAATTATGTTTGTTTTTATTTGTATGGCTTGTAGTATCTCTGCACGATTCCTTTGAATGAAATTATCTACGTTTATTGATGTTACTAATTGCTCTCTTGACCTTGAATCTTTAATGTTAGACTATCACTTTCGGGTCAAAGATGGAATTATGTCATAAAGCGTTATCTCTCAATTGTCTCAAAAATGACAATAAATGCATAAATCTAAATGCTAGTTGGCTCTAGAGGAACCACATGCTCTCCTAATGGTTAACCGTTGGATAAAACATTTATTCTCATCTTGAGTTGCTATAAAAGGAGGACATTGGTTTTGCTCAAATGCATCCCTCCCTTCTCAAATGGCTCCCAAAGTCTCAATCACTAAGAAAGTATCAAGAAGAACCCGAGCTCATCCAGAAGAGGGTGAACAAGGCAATCATAATCCCGGAAATAATCCTATAAATCCTCTGGATATTTCATCCGACTCGGAAAGTGACGATTTTGATGAATTCATCAAAAGAGATGTTGATGGAAATGCCAGATCTTTTGATCCCAATGAGGAACCCCCTCTGATGGTTAGAAAAGGCTTCTTGACACTGGAATCCTAGAACGATCTCACTATGGACAGAGATCTTAGGGACTTCTATCGACATTATGATTGCAAATCTGAACTTGTGGGGTATATTGAAGGAGAATCTGATGAGGAAATGCATCTTGACGGTGGACCACTACGTTCAAAAGCCCCTACATCAAAGAAAGTTTCTAAGGTCACCAAGGGAGAAACCAGTAACACGAAGAAAGGAAAGGGAAAGAAATGACAGTTTCATTGTTATTTGTTCAATAATCGTCCTTGAATTATGTATTTCTATTCATCCATGTCTCGTGTTTTTAATTAATGAAGATTTTCTGCCATGAATCTTTGACTACCTAATATTTGCATACCTTGGAATCATCTCATTGACCCTGAAATCATGATATTCTTGAAAATATCCATTCAAAGTCTTCTACGCCATTAATGGTCAGTTGAAGAAATACATGGCTATTAATTACAGCATTGAATGCTTTGGGTAGTTTCACATCGATTTCTCAAAATGATCTACCTATAAAAAGGGGACATATCTCACCCTTCTCTACCATTTTCATCTTCATAAATGGCTCCCAAAAAGCCTTTTACAAGGGGAGATTCTCGCAAACAACGAGAACTCGCCAGGAAAATAAGAGAAGAACCGGGAGACATGTATCCAGGCAATAGCCTTCAAGCGCCATTAGAGGTCTCATCTGATACTGAAACATCATCTCTCTATGATGAAATGGCTGGCTTCATTGTAGAGGAGCCCGAGGAAACCCCCCCTGAAGAGGAAGTTCCTCAACAAGAAACGAGTCCTGCTGCTACGCCTAACAAGTATCATGACGAAGATTATGTCAAATATCTAAATGAAGAAATCAAATCTGAGAGAAAGGAAGAACCCACTTCGTCTACGGGCTCTAACTTTCTGCGTACCGGAAAATGGTACAAAAGAATGTGGGCAGAACTCAAGAAGTCGAAAGTTGAGACTCATGAGGAGAAGGCAAATGAGAGGAAGAAAAACTAATCTTATGGATTATGTATTTTATTTTCTGTATCCGTCTCTCTCGTTTGGTTGAATAATAAAATCCTGGTTTCCCTGTTTTGAGCTTAATCTTAATTACGTGATGAACGAAAGAGTTAATGCCATTTTTGGTCCTAGACTTATTGGGGCATGGACATTTTTCATCCTCCATAATAAAAATTGCCAGTTAGTAACCACTTTTATTGATAGTTGGACACTTTTGGTCCTCCGTCAAGGAAGCCAGCTGTTGACCATGAAATAGAAGGGCAAAGCTGTCTTTTTATACCTTCTTCTTCTAATCTTTAAATTTCTCCAGTGTATTTCGCCACCCCTGCACTGCCAATCTCCTCCGATCATCGGATAGTGGCCGGCTATGCACTAAACTACGAGGAACCCGGAGGTTCCTGATCATCAATCCGACAAGCGACGAGAGGTATCTGCACATCCCCAACCCCATCCAAACCATCTGATTGACCATGCAAGGGTCGGAAAATGGGAAAATCCTCTATTGACGAAGGTGCAATCGAACTATTGGCGAGCGCAGAAGCCCTCCGATCGTTTGCGGATGCCCTCGACGCCTCCCCAACACCATCCCAACCCTCTGATTGTCCATACAGTAGCCTAATCGCTGGCAGAGTTGCCATTGGGGAAGGATCACCCTCATCGACAACCGGCCCTCCACCGCCATCAACCACGGCGTCATCCTCGACAGCATCCAACTCCACCGTCTCCTCCACCTCTAGTCTCCTCCCATCGCCTTCTCCACCTCAATCCTCAGCTAAAATCCATTCAATTCCCCTTCACCTCCAACAATTTCCACCCAAACTCGATCAACATAGGTTTAGAGACACCAATTTCTACTCTAACTTTGGTCACATATTTGGCTGAGCATCTCAAAATTAAACAGATGAACAGGTATAAAAGGCAACTTGCTCAACCTGGGTGTGTACAAGTAAATATAGCTGGAAGGGTGGAGATTAGATCCTCTTACGGAGATTGAAGAGATGGAAACGTGCAGACGAAGAGCTCAACCTGCCCCGCCTCTACTGCGAGCTGGATTTCTCTGTTGGATTTGAGCCGATCTTGCTCTGCCTCGCCTCCATCGCCTCCTATGTCCTGCCGTCACTCTC